AAAAAATCAGGGGATATCCATTACCATTTACCACCAAAAGAAAGCCCAATTTGTCTTGAAAAAAACAAAGTATAATTCACCTGGATGTACAAAGTAGTTGTGATGATATGTACGGTTTTACTAACACATGTCAAAGTTGTAAAATTTTCCTTAGGCTTTAAGATTTGTTGCACCCTTAGGCAGGAAGGGGTTAAAGACGGCCCTGGTCCAACAAGCTCATTTCCTGTAAGTGTGATGACCACCCTATGGCCATATAGTGTATAAGGGAGGTTTCACACTGCCCCTGTGCAGTCCCGCTGTGCTCTAGGCAAAGTGTAGCTAACGCACGGGTTAGCTGTGCTTTCCTATAGACTTCTTTGATGTCCCATGAATTTGGTGCATTTTCAGAAAGAGCACCAAAAATGCAGCATGCAGGAGTTTTGGTGCGCTTTCGTAAACTGCACCAAAACAGCAGAACCTCATAGACTTCTATAAGAAAGCACAGCTAAGCAGCACAAAAGACGCATGTTAGCTGGAATTTAGCGCAGTGGGGCAGTGTGAAGGCACCCTAAGGAATCTGCAGAAAAACAACACAGTTCCAAACCCACTCTGGGAGGGTCCTGATAAACACTGAAGTCCTTCATGCTTCAGCTCAAGCTACTGTACATAAAAATGTTTTGGGTGGAGTTTTACTTTAGGCAATCTTGTTTTTTTCTGTTTCTTTAAAATCTTTGTTAATACAGAGAGTGAAATACATAAAAATGATTGTTTAATTCAATACTGTAACATAATCTCACTTTCTGTGAGATCATACCAAGATCAAAGAAATAGGGGAAGTGAGCAGTGGAATTGTTTGCCCATGTATCACCTACATTGTATCTCTGATGTGTTTGAAGCAGCAATGAGAAAAATATCTGTTACATGTCCATGGGAAATCCCTAATGAATGACAGGCACTGACCAGTTTTTTCCTTCATTGATGTATCATTTAAAAAAAAAAAAAAAAAAAGCTGTTGACCTCCTCAATTATACATTTTTAATCAGCACATGGAATTTTTTCTGGTACCAAAATACTTTATTGACAAATAAAACAGGGAGTACAGCATATATAGTAGACGGAGTATGTGGAGTAGATGTAAACCCAATAAATATATGTAAACCCAGCCAAATCTCATATAATCTTTAACATATTAAAGTCTTTTCAGAATTAATTTTAAAGATTTTTAGCCATTCATTAAAATAATACCTAATGATCCTACCATAACGGTTCTTCTTTAGGTACTTCCTGTTATAGGGTGACAACGCTCTGCCCCTGTCTTCTGAATGTGCCCCTGCATTCTCATGCTGTCATCTGAGGGCCACAAGTGAGTGCACTGACACACATTGCATAGGTATTGCTCATAGCACCACTGTACCACTGTTCACCAGGAAGTTGGGCAAGAACAGTAATTTATATCTTTCTGGAGCAAGCGTATGTACACAGAAAACGGCTAAAAGAGGCTGGAGGAGATAGGATGAAAAAGAATATGAAAATTGTATTTTATAGGGGGGGGGAGCAAGTGTTTATAATACAGAGTACTGTAGCAAAGTAAATGTCATCTAGTTAGGGATCACATTTACTTTATCTTAACCCTTTAGTGAGAAAAGTTAAACAAAGCTCAACAGCGGAAACCAGTTTTGCACCCTTGGCATGTGTTAGTGAAATAGTACCTATCTTTGCAACTACTTAGGGGTGTACTTTCACATTCACATAGCAATCTGCCAAGTGAAAGTGAATGTACATTTTTTTTCTGTGTGAGTGGGGCAAAACAAAAGAGACTGTTATTAGGCATTTGGCCACTAGATGGCACTATGTATTACAGGAAGTTCCTATAATACTTTTTGTGATTGGCTTTCACAGTGATTTCATAATGGAGTTCCCAACAGGGGCGGACTGACCATTTGGAAACTCGGGCACTGCTCGACGGCCCGGGGTCAGTAGGGGGCCCCATGAGATGCCCCTGGTACCTTTTTCATAGGCTTTTTTGAGTTTGGGCAAGGACACAGGGGCCCCATGATCCCCTATTGCCGGGGGCCCCATGAGTTGTCAGTCCGCCCCTGGCTCCCAATCAGCACTCTGTGACTATAAGCTGTCAGTGACAGCTCAATATACTGTGTAGGGGGTGTGTGATTGAGTGAGCTTCCTGCACAAAAACAAATACACGTATATCTGGCAAAATGGTATAGTGCCCAATCCCTGCAACCACATATATGCTTTTGACCAGCGTTAAGGGGTTTTGTTTTCCAGTCTTTAATTTTTTATTCATATCCAACTATACTTATACTGTATACAGGGGCAGACTGACCATTCGAGCACTCGGGCACTGTAGGGGGCCCCATGAAATGCCCCTGGTACCTTTTTTATAGGCTTTTTTGAGTGTGGGCAAGGACACAGGGGCCCCATGATCCCCTATTGCCCAGGGGCCCGCCCCATGAGTTGTCAGTCTTCCCCTGATTGTATATATATATATATATATATATATATATATTACTTTACAGTGTTGCTAAACCCACAACAATAAAGTCAGTCTGTATATGCAGTAAAGCATGCTTGTTATACTCACTCCGGAACCTAAAGGGTTAATCCTCCACATTGTGTAAAAAGGTTGTTTGATCCGACTTCTCTGATCCCCTTCTTCTACTGTCCCCAATATGGCTCCCAATATAACAGAGGCTGGGAGACAAGCTGCACATGCTTAGTTTGGTGTGTATTGCTAATTTTTTTTTTCTAGTGAGAAAGCACGGGATCAGCACAGGGCCAATCAGCACTGTCCAGACAGAGGTCCAGGGTCGAGCATCCCCCTAAAACAGAAAAAAAACTCATTCTACTACTAGCTTTAAGCGGTGCTCTGCTGGGCACTGATAGAAGTCACAAGACTGCTCTAACTCCTGATGAGAAAAGGTATTTAGCAGTTTATATTTTACTACAATAATTGCATTTCCATGTTCTGTGTACTGTGGGAGACCAGATATAGTGAATGCAGGGTCCTGGGTTTAGTAACACTTTAAAGCTAATAAAATCTGTTTTTTTTTTGTTTGAAAGAATGAGGAAAGGTTAGACCCTTGTTAGGTTTTAATGCTATCTGAGGCTATGTATCACATGTAATGTGGAGTATAAATGGGCACTAAAGATTTTTCAGATTGAAAGTTATGTATATTTATCTGATGAATTTATTAAGAAGAAATGTATTGGGAATGGAAATGACATCGTTACTCAGAGAAGCAGATGGCGGAGGAACTTGTACATATATTAGTTGTATTTGCACTTCTTCTCTGTGGTTTGGTTATTCTCTTTTTTGGTTATTTTTCACAATTTCAAGCTACATGTAAAGCCAAAAGATTTTTAAAAGGTCTGTATAGAATAGAGAATGGTTACAGTTGTTTGTGTCCTATTAGGTAAATTTCACTTCACTTCCTGTTCTGTAGACACAACAGAAAGAAATCTCCAGAAATCAAGTAACATCTAGTCTTAGACAGTTTTTACCAGATCAAGGGTCCCCACTGGAAGATTTTCTCTGTACTCCTGTTCTGGTGACAACCAAAACTTTGTATTTTCCATCACTTTTTAGCAGAAGTAAATTTGTTTTGTTAAAGTGTTCTGACAGGCAGTCTTTTTTAATGTGGTCGTTTACTTCTCTAAGTCTCGAAGACAGCAGTCACGAGAGAAGGTGAATCTCTTTAGCAGCAATACAAAATCTGACAGAAATTCTAACCCTCTTCCATGAAAAGAGTTTGGCTTTGGATACACTTTGATTGAAGCACTCAAGGCAAAAACAAGAGAAGAATAAATAGCCAATTTAAAGATATAAAATAGCAAAACTATTTTTGTCAATATACAGCTTTGGTCCAGAGATATCCCCTACAGTACTTTTTCTGCCACTAGATGCCCTCACTCTTATGACCAGCATTAATTCACTCACTTCCTCTAAGCCCACATCATCCTGGACCTGCTCCCAGCCAGTGATTATACTGGGAAAGGAGAAGCAGCAGAATGATGAATTAATCTCTCCGTCACTCTGCTCTCTCCTATCAGCATGCTTCTTTTCAACAAATGAAATGGATTGCTCCTTTGCTGCTTCTTCCTTTTTGCACTCCAGCCCTGCTGTACAGGGACTGCAAGAGGCTATAGAAGGCCAGATTCTGGTACCTATACTGATTGCATTAAAAGTACATTTAATGATGAATTAATGAATACAGAGCTACGTTAATGCGTGTCTCTTATATCTGCAAAGAGTTCAGCTTTATGTACTACTACATTGGGATGGAAGTATATCTGTAGTTCAGTATGATCATATAATAATTAATGGTGCTTACAGAAGTTCTAAATTGTATCTACCAAAAGAAGGAGGAGAAATGTGATGCTTTGTTGCAGTAAGCACATATAACTTGCTCTTTAACCGCTTACCTACAGGGCACTTATACCCCCTTCCTGTCCAGGCCAATTTCCAGCTCTCAGCACTGTCACACTCTGAATGACAATTGCGCGGTCATGCAACACTGTACCCATATGAAATTTTTATCATTTGTTTGTGACAGATAGAGCTTTATTTTGGTGGTATTTAATCACCTATGGGTTTTTTTTTTTTTTCTTAAACAAACCAAAAACCACTGAAAATTTTGAAAAAAAAATGTTTTTTCTTAGTTTTTGTTATAAAATTTTGTAAATAAGTGATTTTTCTCCTTCACTGATGTGCGCTAATGAGGCCGTAGTGATGGGCACTGATAGGCTGCACTGATGGACACTGATAGGTGGCACTGATGGGCACTGATGAGGTGGCACTGGTAGGTGGCACTGATGGGCATTGACAGGCATCACTGATGGGCACTGAAAGGCAGCACTGATATATGGCACTGATAGGCGGCACTGATAGGCATCACTGACTGGCACTGATAGGCGGCACTGACTGGCACTGTTAGGTGGCACTGACTGGCATTGTTAGGTGGCACTGGCTAGCACTGATAGGTGGCATTGATAGGCGGCACTGATTGGCACTGATAGGTGGCACTGATTGGCATTGATAGGTGTCACTGACTGGCACTGATGGGTGACACTGAAGGGCAGCTCAGATGGGCACTGATATGTGGCATTGATGTGCACTGGTAGGCACTGATATGTGGCATTGATGTGGCACTGATGGGCACTGGCATGTGGCACTGTTCAGCACTGATAGCTGGCACTGATGGGCACTGACAGGTGGCACTTCTGGGGCCACACTGATCATCAGGGCACACTGATCATCAGTGCCCTGATGATCAGTGTACATGTCCCCTACGCGGAATGCCAATTACCGGCTCTCCTCTCCTCTCGAGCTGTCAGTGTGACAGCTCGAGAGGAGAGAAATGCCAATAACCGGCATTTACCTGTTTACATGGGATCAGCTGTGATTGGACACAGCTGATCACATGACCGAGCCGACATCTTCGGCTCTTTCCGTGGATCGGTAATCCGCTGTGTCCGAGGGACACAGAGCACCGTCGATCGCTGCGCTCTCCCTGAGTCACGCATGCGTGGTGAGAATGGAAGGCCGTCAAAAAACGGCCTATCAGAACGAGAGAGAACCACCTTGCGCCGTCATTGGACTATATGGTGGGCGGGAGGTGGTTAAAGTGTATGTGAACACAAAAAAATATGTAATATATTGCAGCTTACCAGTCCTTAGATGTGGTAGATGCATTCATTTTTTTTCAGTTTTTCCTTTATTTTATCAAGCTATACTTCAAATAACACACTTCCTGTCCCTGAGGGGCTACACTTTCTTCTCCACTGTATCTACGGAGGGAGCTATGGTTGCCATCCAGGCTGAACTTAAAACATAATTGTGATAGAAAGCCTGGCACCCCACCTGGGTGCTTCCTCAAAGGGCTGCCTCCTCACGTCTAAAACACAGGAGCAAGGTATTATAGGTGGGCATTTCATCGAAGAACTAGACATCACTAACTTAGGTGCAAACAGGAACTACTATATTGAACAGAAATACTGGTTTTTATCCACTTCAAAAATAGATGAACAATAAAAACAAATATTACACATTGAGGTAACAAGTGTAATCTCATCATGTATGAACCTCCAGGAGGATTAGCCAACAGACAGAATAAGTGACTCAATTGACTCAATTAACAATGAGAGAAAGACAACGCAGTAAACACATAACACCATAATAAACAGATTACAACAGGAGACCTCAGCATCATGTTGTTTTGGTCTGATTATATTAACATCTGCTCTGAGTCTCTGAGTCTAGAAGGGGGTTGAAGCAGTCAATGCTGGTTTGGGCAGAGAGGCCCAAAATCTGTATCCTGTTCCTGCAGTTCTCAGAGTCCAGGGGCGGACTGACCATTTGGAAACTCGGGCACTGCCTGAGGGCCCGTGGGCCAGTAGGGGGCCCCATGAGATGCCCCTGGTACCTTTTTCATAGGCTTTTTTGAGTTTGGGCAAGGACACAGGGGCCCCATGATCCCCTATTGTCCGGGGGCCCCATGAGTTGTCAGTCCGCCCCTGTCAGAGTCTGTATGTTTCAGGGAGACATGGACTTGAAGCTGAAGTAAAACTACTCAAAAAGGTCCCCCAGGCACACACCTCCCAAAGAATAGAGCCCCCTCAAACGCCAGGGCAAGAGGCTAGCCTGCAGTCCCCTCCAAATGCCCCTGTCCCAGTTGTGTCTTCACAATAATCACAGGCTGTGCCTATAACTCCCCATATACAGTATGTGATACAGATCTATCAGTATATAATCATTTCAGCAAAAAATGATTGGATGACATGAAGATTGTGATGTCTCCGCCTCTTATCTCGTTCAGTTAAAGCACCTTGTATTTATTTAAAAAAATACAAGGAGTGGAGTTCATAGCGGCAGCACTGACTTAGTGTCCTCCTGTGGTGGGTGTACAGAAGGGAAGCTGCTCACACAGGACCTGGAATATGGCGCTATCACTGTAGTAATGTTGACTACTACATTGGCTGTCCCCTCTCCCAGGTAAGAGATATGCATCTTAACTACATATGTAAGTATGTAATTAGAATCATACCTGGAGTTCAGCTTTAATATATAAAAAATAGCAGGCTAAATATATATCAATCAACTATATCAAGTCACAGGAAGCCAGGCTGAGAACCATTCATTGTTATCAAATTTCAACAATACATCCGAAGAACCTTCATATAATAGGATTATGTATAATGTGCTAATCTTGTCGGTATTGTTATAGTTCACTTAAAGTAAATTGATATACAGTATATATTTACTATACTATTTTTTTTTATATATGTTTATGTTTTGGAAGCTGTGTAGGTTTGGTGTGGGAACTGTATGAATTATTAACCTGCCTGTTATACAAAATACAAAAATGTTATATATTTCAGCTTACCAGTCCTTAAACGGTATGACTATGTTAGTTTTCTTTTTATGCCTATTTCCTTTAGTCCACCTGGTGATTTGGCCAGTAACACACCACCTGTAAAGAGTGCCTACACTCTGGATGAAGGAGCAACAAAGACTTACTGGCTGGATCACTGGGGGAAAAAAAAGGAAAAAAGAAAACTAATGCAGCCATCACATCTAAAAAATGGCAAGTTGCAATATAATACTTTTGTGCTTAAAAGAGAAGTATGGTCTAAACTTTTTTGGCCACACTCCTCTTCTGGGTCATAGGAGTGCACTTACTTTTGCTCTCCTGTGACCATAAATTAGCCAACTAAAGCCTGCAGTCAGCTGATGTCACAGAGCTGCTCCAAGCTCTAGAAGGATCCCGACCGTATTGTCAGGATCCACCCAGATGCTTGATAGACAGCTGAGCCCGCCCCCTCTCTAATTCGGTGCACCAGAGTGGTGAGGGGCAGAGCAGAGTCATGAAAAAAAAGGTTTTTTTTAACCTTAATACATTCTCTGCATTACGGTAAAAGAAACTTTCAATATCTGCACTCCCTAAAATACTGACCTGAGCCTGATCTCAATCCAGCGCTTTACCCATCTGCAGCATTGCTGCTCTTCTCTCCCCTCTATCACCAGAGGCTGGTCAGCAGTGGCAGTCATTGACTCCTGCTGCTGTTACAAATTCTGTATATAGCCCTACAGAACAGACAATACAGTACACATGTGCTTTTCTCCTTTACTACAACAAGGAAACAGGAGAATTTTTTCAGAAAAAAAAACATAGTGTATACCATAGATACAGCTACAAATTCTAAACACTGCCATCTACTGGTTGAAGAATATATCGCTACTGAATACTGAGGTAGTTGTTGCACAAAGTACATAAACACTGTATTCCGACAGCTGTTGATCAAATTTTGTGAGGAGGGATCAGGTGGGGGGGGGGGGGGGGGGGTGGCGAGGCTAAGTTACACTGTGTGTGTCAATAAATGCAACCGCACCCACACGAGTGCCCCCATAGTGAATGGCTTGCTCTGGGGCACTCAGAGAGGAGGAGGAGCCAAGGCCGCCTACGAGGGACCTCAGAAGAGGAAAATTGGGGCTGCTCTGTGCATAACCATTGCACAGAGCAGGTAAGTATATCATGTTTATGTTTATTTTTAAAAAACATCAACCTTTACAATCACTTTAATAAATGGATAGCTTTATAAGCCTTCTTTGAATGATTCCCTACAAATGCACTTCAAAATGGACTTGAGGGGATTAGCAGTTTGCAGAAGGAAGACAATGTTATTTGTGCTTTCAGGTCAGTTCAAAGGAAATGACAAGGAAACTGCATTTCGGGAAGAATTAACAGAATTAACAGATAATTTCTGTTCTTGCTAAAAATGTTCTCAGCCTAAAACAGAAAGCCAATGAAGTCAACAACTTCTAAAGACTGGTAAACTGCAATTATTACATGTTTGTTTTTAGGTTTTAGAGAACCTAAAATGATTGGTCACAGCAGGTCACATGGTACCGGCAACGGGGCCGATACTCAGATCTGTCATCGGCCGTGTCTGAGGTACACGGCCGGTGACAGATCACACCGCTGCGTGGCTCTGCAGGAGCGCAAACTACGCATGTGCGGGAGGACGCCATTTGGCGTCCAACCCAGAAATGCAGTACATTTTGCCGGCCGCCTTTTGGCTATTGGCCGGGCATGTACTGGTTAAAGATGGCAGAATACTGTGGAACAGCATGGGCTGGCTATATGGATCAGATCCAACAGACCCAAACTATTTCAGCTTCTATGGTAGATAATGACAGATATTCGTCACAAAGATTCTATGGTAGATTTTTTTTTTATTCGTCTACAAAGACTGTTGGAAAAGAAAGCTTGTGTCTTTTGGCACAAAAAATATTTTGAAAAGTATCAAAAAGAAAAAATTGTACCTTGGAGACTAAGGGTTCAAATCTTCTTGAACTTAAAAAAAATTGAGGCAGACTTAAGATCAAATTGGGAATTAAATCTACAGTTGTGTTCATTTAAAATGATAGATAAAATCTTATCTGTGATCAATACACACTAGAATGAAACCTTTTGGGTATTGAAATTCGAAAATGGTACACTCAAAATAATAACTTAATATCAAACTCTTTATTTTCTCAAAAAGAAATGACACTTAAGACTCACTTGGAAACTTATATTATTGGGATTTTGAAATCTGAAGAGAAAGGGGCTTATAAATGGGAATCTTAAGTCAAACAACAGGAGACACTTTAGACAAACAAACAGATCCACTCCAAATGTGGCAGACCCCAATGATTCTGACACTTCTTCCAATCACTCTTCTATTTCTCACACTCAACCTAGTTCTACACCTGATTCCACTACTGTCAGCGCTTCTAAGAAACACAAAGGCGATAGTGATAGGACTCACTTTTCACAATTTAATCACCCAAAATTTGCTGGACGACAAAATTATTCTCAACCTAAGCAGAATACGTGTAGCACTTCCCCACTTTCACTACCGAGTAACCAAGCACGGTACAAACCAATACCCTCGAGTCGAGTCGTTTCCACAGTTATTGCAAATAAGGCTATTATTAAGCGAGCTTACTGCCAGGGAATTATAGATAAGAGTACACTAAACTTCCTTGGTGTTAAAAATCTTAAAACTCCTACTTTATATGCACTACCCAAACTCCATAAGAATTCTCAAACACCACCAGGTCGTCCGATAATATCTGATAGAGGGTATCTCACAGAAAAGGCGAGTCAATTAATTAATGAGTATCTGCATTCACATGTTATTTCCTTAACGTCCTATGTTAAAGACACTATTGATTTGTTAAGAACTTTAGATAACATGCACATTCCTAAGGGAGATTGGTTAGTTGCTGTAGATGTTGAAGCCTTGTACAACTCTATCCCACATGATTTGGGGAAAACAGTAGTTGAACAATTCCTGCTACAAAGAGATCATTCCTCGTATCAATATAATCAATTTGTTTTAGAACTTTTACGCTTAATTTTAAAACATAACATCTTTCTAT